AAATAAGCATATGACAAGATGCTTTTCCCTGTATGTCATTAGGGATATACAGATCGAAACAATGAAATACCACTACATGCCTATTAGAATGGCCAAAATCCAGAACACTAACACCACCAAATGCTGGCAAGGATGTGGGAAAAGGAACTCTCATTCATTGCTGGTGGGAGTGCAAAATGGTACAGCCACTTTGGAAGACAGTTTGGCAGTACCTTAAAAAACTAAACACGCTCTTACCATACGATCCAGCAATCTCATTCCAAAGGATTGGTATTTACCCGAAGAAATTTAAAATTTATGTCCACAAAAAAACACCTGTACATGGATGTTTATAGCCACTTAATTCATAATTACCCAAACCTTGAAGGAACCAAGATGTCCTTCAGTAGGTGAATAGATAACTGCGGTATAGCCAGACAATGGTATATCATTCAGCCCTAAAAAGAAACGAGCATGAAAAAGACATGAAGAAAATTTAAATGCATATTACTAAGTGAAAAGGCCAATGTGAAAAGGTTACATACTGCATGGTTTCAACTACATCACATTCTGGAAAAGGCAAAATTATAGAGACAGTAAAAAGATGAGTGGTTGCCAGGAGTTAGGGGACAAGGACGGATGAATAGGCAGAGCATGGAGGATTTTTAGAGCAGTTAAACTATTTTGTATTATCCTCTAATGGTGGATACATGTCATTATACATTTGTGAAAACCCATAGAATGTACAGCCCCAAGAGAGAACCCTAATGTAAACTATGGACCTTGGGTGCTAATGTTGTTTCAATGGAGGTTCAAGTGTTTCACACTTGAAACAAATGTACTTTGTACTCTGGTGGGGGATGGTGATAATGGAGAAGCCCATGCATGTGTGGAGGCAGGGGTATATGGAAAATCTCTGGACATTCTGCTTGATTTTGCTGTGAACCTAAAAAAACAGCTGAGTAAAAAATTCAGAAAACAAAAAAGAGCTCTTCATAGCAGATGCAAATATCCCAGAGTGGGAAAGTAGAGTATAAGCCTTTCCTAACTGTATGTGACAAATTTCCTAAATGTATGTAAAATTCTTTTATGCAGATCATTTTGCAGGACTGGCTTTCCACCAAACACCCTTTGGAAAATGCCACTAGAATAATGGATAATGATACTTTAAAAGTAAGATACTAAATACGAGAAGCTCAACACAAAGTTTGGAAAACAGAGTTGAGGAAAGCTTTGAAGAAAGTTGAACAAAAAGTCAATGAGAATAGGGGTAAGAATAAAGAGGGTTAAGAATATTACAGAACAAGTTCAAAAGGTTCAACCTCTGAATAACGTGTGCCAGGAGGAGTGCAGAGAGACAAAGAAGTGGGAGAAGATTACTGACGAAAGAATTTAAGAAAATCTCAAGAAACTAAAGAAAGGATGGGCACACACAGGGTCCAGTATGGCAGTGTCTCATCCTAGGTGAGACTGCAGAACACTAGGGATGAAGAGAAGCTTCAAAGAAAACAAAAAAATTTCATGTACAATTAAACATGCAATCTAAGATTTACATGGGAAAACAAAGAGAAGGAGCAAACTGGGAATAATATGAAAGGGAGGTGAAGAACATGTCAAGGAACTCAGACGGCTTCAGAAGAGACTTCTTTTTGAGAGTTTGATATGGATAGAATATATAATGTGCTTGAACATAATGAGAGATGTACGTAGTAAGAGAGTTTAGGTTGAATTAATAAGTATTGGCAAAAAAAACACATAAAGAAATCAACAAGATTTACTTTGAAAACAAAATGTGCAACAAAGGAAAAGTAATCATAGTACACTACTTGGCTCAATTGAAAACAGCATTCCACAAATTACAATGACAAAACGCTGAATTTCAATCTAATCAAAATGATAATATCACGGTATTAAGATAGGGAAGTATATGTGGGTAGGTAAGGGACAAGGAGGTTAAGAACAGTTAAATCTTCAACTTCTAAAGTGGGTTGTCAGTTAAAAAATACCTGAATTATGCATAAAATATAAACATAAAAACAACATATGGAGGTAAATAAAAGAATCAGTTGAATTAAAAGTGATTGCATTTGAGGAGAAGTAAATGACAGGGGAAAAGAGGGCCAGTTTGTTTTGCTTTTGTCATAATTCTTAAAAACCTATTGTTCCTTTAAATTATGAGCATGTATTAACTCTGATAAAAATAAAACTAACTCTTGGGGCACCTGGGTGGCTCAGTCCGTCAAGCATCTGCTCAGGTCATGATCCCCAGGTCCTGGGATCAAGCCCCGCCCGTATTGGGCTCCCTGCTCACCGGGGAGCCTTCTTCTCCCTCCCCTCCCTGCTCATGTTCTCTCTTGCTATCTCTGTCGCTATCTCTGTCTCTCTCTCAAAGAAATAAAAAAAATTGTTAAAAAAAATAAATACAACTAACTCTTAAAAAGTGCTGTGCAGGTAAAAAAATGAAAGGGAGGTATAAAGGATAATGTGGCACATACCTTTCGATCCATGATAGCTTTTACTGTTAATACTTGAAGGGTCTGTAAAAGGTAATTTCAACTAATCCTTCCACTGCATTAAGTGTGGAAACTGAGGCTCAGAGAGGGAAGTGAGGTCAAGGTCACACAGAATGAGCCGAGGCCCAGGCAGAGGATGGCCAGACAATGAAAAGTCAAAACTGCTATAGTCTGTCCAGGAGCAGGAAACAGAGATACGAAGTAAGTTCCCACTTTTCCTAAGCTCTGAGACTCAGGCTGAGAGAGGGATGCCAGCTCAGTGACTGCCAGATTTAAAAGGAATCTGCATCATTTAAATGGAATAATGTGGCACAGTCATGAAGCTCCCACTGCTGTGGGTCTTATCTAGGTACTGTTGAAAAGGCACACAGGCACCTTAGTGGTATCTAGAATGATGGAAAACCAAGCAAATATACAGGCATCTAGGGGTCATGCCATGAGGCTGGAAAACATATGTAATCAATATTTCTACCAAGGTATTTATCTGTTTTTTCTTCTTCATCCACAGAGCTTTGGTGCAAAGGCCACTGTTCATTAATCTAAAGACACTCTTGGACTAAGCAAACCCAGTAATTGGCTGGAGCTAGATGCAGATGATATATTTGGAGAAATCATGTAATAGGACCCTGACTAGAGCTGGACATAAATACCATAAGCAGGCTATATGTGGTATTCCAAAGGTCATGTGGAGAAGAAACTAGAATTGGCTTTCCCTTCAAGCTCTAATGTTCTAGGATTTGGGTTGGAGACATACTTAACTCCTTAGAAAAAGACTATGCTAACTTCTCTGGGGACCATTCCAATTGCTTAAACTTCTTTAAAGAAGGTGGAGGATCTGCAGAGTAACTAGAGTAAGGTTTCACACACGTATCTCTACACATAAGAAATGAGTATTGTTCTTTCTAGTATTCCCATTGGGAGACTATCTATTCCAGTGGTGTAGCTCTTTTAAAGTTACCTTCACAGATGGCTGGTTTATGAAATGGAAACAGATAATCATAGCCCTGATTGACTACCTGCCCACTGCAGCCACTCAAACCACACTGTGCTTTGAATCAAATGTTCATTGGTTGGTCTCCAAAATCAAGTTTACTCTCATAGTACCAAGGTTTGCCACCACCGATGATGTTAAAAAAAATCAGCCAGGGCTTTGTTTGTTTGGGATTTTACAGGTTAGTTTTTGCTCTTGTCAGTCTCCAGCTACAGAGGTCCTGAAAAGGAGAAGGCACTCACTGGAAACTAACGGTAGCTCTGGATTTCAGTTTTGGTGGACATTCTCCCCAGCTTTCAACAGACCTTGCTGAATCCCATTCTAAAATGTCAGCCAGCACTCTGCACCTTACTGTCCCATGACTTCTTCAGGAATGATTTTCTGGAAGTTGTGAATTTCTTAAAAAGTTTAACATTGAAGAGTAAAGATGAAAAAAACCTGAATTCTTCATATTTCAGCTGCTTGTGAGAGGAATTAATAGCATCATGGTTGATGCCTCTTCTGCCCTTAATCAGTTGGTGTGTGCAGGGCCAGTAGCCTTTAAGAGTCTTCCTCCTCATCTGCTTGGCCCCATGAAAACAACGCACAGAGAGAAACCCCAGAAGCCCCTTGCCTGCTCTTGCTGGCCCTGTTCCGGTCATGGGTGACCCCTGTGCCGCTCTAGCTGTTTGAGGTCCACAAGGAGCACATGTGGAAGGTGCTACTGTCTCCCCTCAAGGCATACGTGGAGCACTTCACTCAGGAGCAGCTGAAGAAAGTCCCCTTGCCACAGGCATCACCAGGCTGGCTTGATGCCAGAGATTCCATCGTGGCAGTTACTCTTCACAGCCTAGCAGTGCTGGTCTCTCTCCTTGGACCAGAGGTGATGGTGGGAGGAGAAAGACCACCAGCTTCAAACTCACTGCCTCAAGTTCTACGAAAACTACTGACCTTTCCTCAGAAGGTGATCGATTTTCTCAGCCTATTAAATTTCCCACGAATGGAATTTCAGATGTAAAAGGTACCTCAGAAGACAGTGAAAACTTCCCATCAAGGTCTAACAAGGCTGAAGAGTGACTACCCTACTCGCCAAAGGGGTATGCAACCAAAACTGTCAATGCACATATCTGTCCTACAGAACCCTACACTGCTGTCAAGGCCCCGCTCACTAACTACTGCAGGGGAGACGTGGGATGACTTTGAGCCTAACAGCTAAGATACCAAGATAAACCATGGAGGTAGAACCACAGCTGCAAGACCTGTTCCCTCAGGGGAGCAAAAGGCCATTCCTACTCTGCTTCTACTCATTGAAGAGTCCAAACCTACCCCAAAAGACCAGTCTTGCACAAAGTAGGGAGGAGCCAGACCAAAACCAAGCCACCAAAAGTGTCACAAGGAAGGAGGCTTAAGTTTCTATCAGAACTGGGTTTAGAAGAGTTTACCAATTCAAGTAAAAAAGAAGCCATTACGAGATCCTGAGTTGGACTGGTTTGTTGATATGATCCCAGAAATGAAGCCTGCAGCTATTCTTCTTTTACCTGAACTGAGGGCAGAGATGATGGTTCCCAAGGATGATGTCTCACCACTGATGGAGTTTTCCTCAAAATCTGCTGGAGCAGAAATTACTGAGGGAGAGTCTGAAGGCTGGGAAGGGGCAGGGGGGCTGAGCTAGGAGGATAATACCTGGTAACAATGGGGGGCAGTTACACTATAGGAAAAAGGATTCCTTTAAGAAAAAAACCATATCAAACTAATACCTCAAAAGCAGGCTCTGCAGACAAAACCCCCCCAGAGCATCCTGTTTTGCCATAGCAGGAGCTCTTTCCCTAGTCTGCTAACTGAAGTGTGTGCCCTCGAGTGCTAGCTAAGAGCCCCAGGAGGTGAAGAGCTCTGGTTTCTCTGTGGAAGAGCTGTGTGCGTTTGACTCAGAGCTCTGTGAAACTCAAGTGGCTGTGGAAAGGTTGAATTTACTGTCTTTTTCCCCCCAGGAAAGAAAGAAAATAAATACAAAAAGCCAAGCTGATTAGCTTAATTTTGTGCCATTTCTTTAACAGTCAGAAGAGGAAGCTCTACTATGAAATAGGACTTACAGAAAAAATTTTAGCTATAAAGTATCTAAATGATTTTAAATTGCTAAGGTTTTCCTAGGCAACTTACTGGTTTATAGTTGTGCTGATTGAACAGCCCTGTGGGACCGGGGCAGTTACTGACTGTTCCACACGTATTCCATTGTACCAAAATTCTTAAGGAGAAATACCTCCCATAATGCTGTTTTCTAAATATCCAATAAAGACTATTTTCACTAGAAAAAAAAAAATCAGAGTGGTTGCACACGTATTTGAGTGGTGGCAGGATTACTGTAACGCTGGAAGGATTCTGGAAGGGATCAGTATTCTGCACAGGGAACTGGAAAGGATGCATATTAATACAAACTGGGCGGGGTGGGGGGGGCTCCTGGTGCTGGCCCCACCTCCACCCCACCCCCACGCCCCAGCTCCCCAACTCTGAGTTCACAGGACATCTATCCAAGTTTCTTCTATTGTTTTGAAAGGATGAAGGTTTCTCTGAAACTATTTCAAATGCCAAAGATAAAACATTTGTTTAAAGATTTGAGTTAGGTTTACAAATGGATTGGTGGGGGGGCTAACTGCTGGTGCAAGACAAGAGAAAGGACAGATGGGGGTGGCTGGGGCTTGTGGCAGCTAATAGCATGATCTGCTCTTACCTGTGGGGGCCTGCATGGCTGAGCTGGGGATGGTGGCAGCATCTTGGGGTACAGTGCTGGTATCCGGTTCAGGGGTGCTGGTTGTTGGTGAGGTGGGTGGTGGGTTCAGCAAAGTCCGAGGCTTCCTCTGTCAAAATGGATGGGGAGAAGTTTGCTACCTGTGACAGGTAACTTGTCTTCTGATTTCTCTATTCCTAGCCCTCGATTCACCCATGAGATGGAAATATCTCTGTGGATGGGGCTGTGTTTTATCTTTGTTTTCCACACAGAATCTTGCCTAGAGCTTTACCTATAGTAGATGCTTAGTAAATATTTTCCGAATCTATGTATAAGATTCTGGGCTCCTATTGAGCTGGAGCTTAATTCACAGTCTTTTATACTAGATTCAATATTATCATTCGAAATTCCAGGTTATCAGTTGGACGGACAAAAGCAAAAAAGGGAAAAAAAATGCTGAGGCTTAAGTCTACTTTGACATTATTTTGTACTTTGCTTCTCTCTTCAAAAAATGGAAACATCCCTTCCCCTAATTGCAAACTCGTTCCTCTGCCTACCTCCTCAGCTCATCAACTCCATTTCTTATCTTAAACTTCATACTCTAAGGTTTAGATCTCTAACTAAAATACTTCTCTGAAAACCCTGCCGTTTTACCTGGGCCATGCCTTTACTGTAATAAACGGTCCTTCTGCTTGGAATGCTCCTTCTTTCTTTTTTTACTTTATAAAAATCTGTTTATCCAGGAAACTTTTCTAGATTTCCCCTAATTACTGTATCTTTTGTGCTATCTCTGTACTTTGTGCTGCATCTGTCACCATGTATTGTCATATATATTTACATACTGGTGTCCTCTATTAGCCTGGAGCTCCTTGAGGGTCTGATTCTGGGTTCCTACGCTCCTAGCATGGCTACTGCCATATATTAAGTCTCAATAAATATTTTCAATGAAGCACACAGTATAGCATACAAATAATGGGGGAAGTAATAAAAATGATTTGAGAAAAATCTACTTCAGGTCAGTCTCTAGGGGAGAAAGATCTCAGAAGCTTCTTTTCAAGAAATAGTTTTCTAAAAGCCTTTCTGAATGCAAGGAAAATGTAATCAACCACTGAGATCCAGAAATCCCTTTTTTACTAAATGTGCCATGTAGGGTCCACTGCTGGGAGCGATATAAACCTGCCTGCCTTCCAGGAGTGTATGCTCTAAAGCAGCAGCACCAGTGACAGGGGGCATATATAAGATGGCCTTGTCTGTGGAAGTTATCACGCAAACACGAAACGTTCAAAACATACATGGGGCATGGACATTTCCTCATTTTTTTTGATACTGCTAGAAGTCAAAGTCTAAATAAGCAAGGAGTCAGGGAAGAAAGGAAATAGCAGTTCAACTTCACAGAGTTGGTGGTAGGATTTCATGGGGTCCCTGAAGGAACAAGCCTGGTGTTTGGTGCCCAAATATTGTGGAAGAAAGCAGAGAGATGGAAGCCATTTCTGTTTGAGATAGGTGCATTTACATGTATAATATCTCTTCATATTTTACCTCATCTCTATTTTATTGGTGAGAAAACTAGGGCTCAGAGCCTTATTCAAAGTTTCCCACAGTCACACAAGTGGTAACAAATGGAGATAAGATATAAACCTATTTGTCTGGCTTTGAAGCCTCTGCTCTCGTCATGAGACCACTTTACTTCAGAAAGGAACAGAAGGGTCATGGGTTAAGTGGAAGGCATATACACATTTATAGAAGTAGGCAAAAGGACAGGAGGGGGAATTAGCGAGTCAAATGCCAGCCCATAAAATACAGGATAAGATGAGAATTATTGTTTTCAAGAGGGTTGGAAAGAATGGGGACTTTGGTTATTACTATGTTTAGGACTGCCTGAGGAAGCAGAACAGAGGCAATCATAGAATCATAGTGTTTAGGTTTTGAAGGATCTTAAAGGCCACTTAATCCAACCATCCCTTTCCTACTTCCTTCTTCCTGAAAACATCCATCCCATATGATTCATCCAGTCCCTGACAAAATGCCTCTAGTGATGGCAGATCACTATTCCTTCCTTCCATCCTTCCTTCTTCCCTCCCTCCTTTCCTTCCTTTTTATCTTTCTTTTGGCAGATCACTACATCTGTTTTGGGATAGATTTAACTGTTCCTTTTATGTTGAGACAACGCCTGAGTTTCTACTTTTTGGTTCTGGTTCTGTCTTTGAAAGCTTACAAGTTTTTTCCCTCTATAATCAGATGTCCTCAAAATGTCTTCACATCATCAAAAGCATGGATTCTCTGGCCTTGGAATCTTTAGAGCCTTCAGTCTCTCTCCACAGCAGAAGAATAAGAAGAGAGCAGTGGAGATAAAAAAGAATCAGGACCTGGGTTAGGGGTTAGTAGTAGATAGATCAGGAGCATATGTGTTACACAGAAAGATCAGGATGTGACATCAAGAATTCAAAGCCAATAAACAAGAGATAATCTCAAGTAGAACATCATAACTAAAATCATCCATCCATCTTGCATATATTGAACATCTCTGAAGAGACTGAGATATAAGGCACTACAGGAGAAAGAGAAGAACAAGATTAGGTTCTTGACCTTGAGGAGCTTATATTCTAGAACAACTGAAGTCAGCTGAAGTTAATAAAGAGAACAAAACCAATCAACCAACCAACCAACTAACCAACCAACCAAACAACCAAACTTAGGGAAGAACTCATGAGATTAGAATGGGGTGCTCAGGAAGAACTAGGTATCATTTCCACATCGAAACTCAGCTAGTCTAGTTCAGGAAGGAGCTGCAAAGAAAACCCTTGACAAAAATTTGAGTGGAGAAGGTGATGCTAAAGGAAGCCGTAGAGAAGCAGCTGAGGAACTTTCTTATCAATGGTTTCCCTAGGGAAGATATGCATGAAGAATTGGTCATGACTAAAAGGTGGCACCTGCAGTTAACAGTGCTCAGTGACTCTTGACTCAGCAGTCTTTTCCTGCAGGAAATATGGGACAGTGCCCACAATACCCTATCTCCTTCAGGAAATGTGGGAGAGTGCCCATGGTACCCATGGTAGGGCAGCAGTGACCTTGGAACTAGAACATCTGGAGCCCCATCTCTGGAGCCTTTGCCATTTATTAGCTATGTGACCTTAGGGAAGTCATTTCACATCTCTAAGTCTTAAATTACTTAACTATTAGATAACATTAAATCTACTCATCTCCTAGGGTTTTGTGATCATCATGGGATATGTATGTAATGGTGTCTGATACAGAGCCTGATTCTTACTAGGTATTCAATAATTTTCTTTCTTTTTAAAAGAAGGGACAGGGATAGAAAAAGAAATACATTTATAGAGTCAATTTTCTCTTTCTGATCATGTGCCTGGGCATCTGCTCTGGGTAGGTTAACAATTAGGAGCAGGGTCTTCCATCTAGGGAAGACATTAGACCAGAATTCCCTCAAATGTGAGTAGCTTTCAAAGTCAAAATTTGTTTTTTTATCCACACCATCCTATTTCTAATATTACCAACTCCCAGTTAAGTAGCTAAGCAGGGATGACAATCTAGGAGATTCCTGTTAAAAGCATACACAAGGTGGAAAATAGGGCCACACATGCCCCTTTCCAAGATGGATGGATATGAGTGAGTTACCCCTTTATAACCCTTTATCCCTTCCTAGGAAACCCACAGTTTTACCTACCTTACTGCCAGGTTTGGGACCCCTCTTCTTTGGGAATTTCAAAGGTTCAGCTGACTTGGATGGGGTAGAGATGGGGTGGGGAATTAGGGGCTTGGGTGTCCGGCCCCGCTTCTTTCCTGGTTTACGCCCCCTCTGCCCTGGTTGATGGTCCAAGACAGTTTTGGTGCTGCTGTGGATGCTGGGCTTCTCAGTGTTCACATCAGATGCAGGATAGGGATTCTTTGGAATCACAACTGCAAGAAAAAGACTCATTCTATCACCCCCTCCTCCCACCTGCATTCCCATCCCAGAGGGGGAAAAAAAGGACTCGCTACTTCTGCTTGGGTAGTTTTATCCCAAGAAGCTGGTTTCCTGGCATCTGACCTAAATGTTAGAAAATCTCAGAGGAGAACTGAATTTAGATTGGTTAGAATTGGAAGTTTTAATTATTTCTGGCAGATGCAGAGAAAATATTAAATTTTTCTCCCCAAGGCATCTAGTTAAAGCATATAAACAGAATCATAGGCTCAGAGATGGAATGACTTTAGAAGCCTACAATCCCTTCCTGCTAAGAATGAAGATCCAAGGCTCAGCAGAGGAAATGATGCCTTCCCCGGGTTACACAGTAAACTGGGATAAGGACCTATGTTTTGAAACTGGGCCCTGACAACCAAGTTAGGCATTTTCTACACCAATCTACTTAAAGCTTTAGTGCGATTATTGCAATGAGGAGTAGGGAAACACATGGAAATACATACATCTGACAGCATCTCTCCTTACTTAAAAAATCTCTGCTCCATATTACCTTTAATGTAAAGTCCAAATTCTTTATCCTGATATCCAAGGACTTTTGTGACTTTATCCCTGCCTAGTTCTCCAGTTATGTCTGATGTCATTTCCTGATACACATCCCCGCTATGTTCTAGCCCACTTGTTTTCTGAACACCAATTCATTCATGTATGCTGAGTTCCGTATTCTTCCTAGTCAAGTAAACATCAATACTCAGATTCCAATACTCAGCTCCAGGGCCACGTCCTTATTGAGGCCTTGTCTGACCATTCCCCAACTAAGTTAGTACCACTCCACCCCCAAAGCATTCTGGAGACATCTATGTTAGGGTACTTTCAATTTTACTCCAACCATTCACCTTCTCCTTAAATTGAGAATGCTTCAAGGTAAGCACATCTAATTCATTCCACAAATAGTTACTGAGCACTTACTAGAGGTTAACAAAACAATTTCCACTCTCATGGAGCTTACCTCCTAGTTGGGGAGACAGAAAACAGACAAATAAATACACAGTATAATGCCAGGGAAGTGCTATGATGGAAACTAAAGAAGGGTAAGGAGAGAGAGGGGTGAGGAAAGTTCTCTTTGAGGAGGTGACATTTACACAGAGCTCCCAAATGAAATAAAGGCAAAGCCTTATGAAAATCTGAAAAAAGTGCCTCCCAAGTAGAGGGTACATAACAAGCACAAAGATTCTGAGATGGGAACGTGTCAGGGTGTTTGAGAAATGGTAAGGAGGTCAGTATAGCTAGAATTGAGTGAGCAAAGAGGAGTGGCGGGGGATCAGGTTAGAAAGGGAGTAGAAATAAGATTGTGTAGGACTTTGCAGATGGTGAAAATGAATCTGAACTTATTCTAAGCATGAAGAGAAGCTGCATGAGTAGAACTAGGGAGACTAGTTCATAAACTAATCACAGTGGGCAGGGAGAGGGTAATGTTGTTAATGTGTCTAGGTAGGATGTAATAGATTATGGCAATGTGGTGTTGCTCATGCAACAATTGGGAAAAGTCAGATACATTCTTTGAAGAGACACTGCAGTGTTGTAGAAATCACAAGGGCTAGATGAACTGGAATTCCAGACATGAGTGGGGAGGGCTTCTGAGGTAGTTGACACTGTTTTCTTTCCTGAGGACATTTGCCAATTTGGGGCATGAGCTGAGGATCAGGTGTGGCCCGTGCAGAGGACCTCTACTGGAGGAAAGAGAAATCCAATAGGCTGCTGTGACATTGGAACTTGAGTTCCATGCATGTGGCCAATTTTCCCCATGGGACATTTGCTGAGTTCTGAGCCTGCACACTGGACATGTGAAGCTAGGCTGAGAGCTTCTACAAGGAAGAATGAAATCTCCTCTAATCTTGTGGCTTTAGGGGATAAATAAGGTCCCACTAGAAGGAGGAGGTCTACCTCAAACACATATCTCCTCTTCAAGATAAATGCCATATTTTGAAATTGTAAGGAGTGGGAGGTTAAAGAACTAAAACCCTAACCTCTAAAGGGAGGACAGTCTCTTGCAATTTTTCGGGGCTGAGAAGATAGAGAGACCTATTAGGTTCTCAATCAAGAGCCCAGGAGGGCCCATATCTAAGAAATAGGAATAAACTACAGGTATAATCCAGACCTGGACTAGCTCAATCCAGGATTAGATTGAGAGGATCAGGCCCTTATCCTATTAGTGTAACAGAGGAAAAGAAGAATTCTTTCTAATGGAAGATACTAGCTGGAGCCTCAACAGTTCTTTTATATAAAATATCCAGTATATCACAAAAAATATGAGATGTAAAAAGAGGCAGAAAAAAGTGACTGGTAATCAAGAGAAAATACAGACAACAGAAGGAGATTCATATATGATCCAGATAATGGAACAGAGACTTTATAATAATCATAATTAATATGTTAAAGAAAAAGATAAGCAAAATGTAAGAGAAGATAACACCCACAGAAAACTGGAATCTATATAAAAAATTAAATGAACATCCTGGAATTAAAAATGTAACATGAGAAATTAAGAACTCTTTGGATGGATTTAAGGGAAGACAAGATCCGGCAGAAGAAAGGATTAATGAACTTGAAGAAAAATCAATAGAAAACATCCAAAGTGAAGCAAAAATATGGGAAAAAAAACAGATTAGAGCATTAGAGACATGTGGGCATGGTCAATGGATCCAAAATATGAGTAACTATAATCCCAGGGGAAGAAGACAGAGAGAATTAGGCAAACATAGTATTTAGAAACTAATGAAAGAATAGCTCAGCAATCTACAAGCAGTAAAAATCCTCCCTCCAAAAAAGTCCCCCATACTAAACCAAAACACATAACTGTTAAACTGCTGAAAATAAAAGATAAAATATAAATGAAATGAAAAACATAAATTTTTAAGAGGAGTCAGAAAAGAAACATTACTCTTATAGGAGCATCAATAAGACTGATGGCCGATGTTTTAACAGAAACTGTAGAAATTGGAAGCAGCAGAATGATATATTTAAAGGGCTAAGATATACCAACTGCCAACCTAGAGTTCTATACCCAGCGAAAATATCCTTCAAAAATCAAGGTGAAATAGTATTTTCAGACAAATCAAAGCTGAGAGAATTTGTCACCAGCAGACCTAAACTACAGGAAATAAAAAGGAAGTTCTTCAGGCTGAAGGAAAGTAATCCCAGATAGAAAGATGGAACTGTAGGAAGAAATGAAGAGCATAAGAAAGGGCAAATATGTTCTCGATACAAAAGAATTTAGAATAAGAACTACTTAGAACAAAAACTTATAAAATGGTTTGTAGAGTTTATAATGTATGTATTAGTAAATTATATGAAAGCAACAGCACAACGGATGGAAGAAGGGGATAAATGGAGCCAAACTTTGTTAAGAATTTTGCATTATTTGGGGAGTGGTTACAAAGCACTTATTTAAAGGATACTTTGATAAGTCCAGCATACATATTTGCACAGGATAACCAATTAAAGAATTATATAAGAATGTATCACTAAAAGCTAAGGAGAGAGGAATGGAGTAATAAAATATACCTGATTAATCCAAAAGGCAAGAAAGGAAGAATAAAGAAATGAGGAAGAACGCAGACAAAGAGAAAACAAAAAGCAAAATGGTAAACCTAAATCCAAATTAATCATATTAAATACAAGTGGATTAAGTAAAACAATTAATAGGAAAAAATTAACATACTGCACAACCCCCCCGCCCCCAGGTTTCAATTGTATCTGTTTATAGGAGGGTCTTGAAATATAAGGACACTTGAAATATGACACAGATAAAAAGATAAAAACAAACAGATGGAAAAACATATACCCTGTAAACATTAACCAAAATAAAGCTCATGTGGCTATATTAATATCAGACAAGTCAATCTTTAAGGCAAGAAGTATGACTAGACTAAAAAGGACTATTTCATCAAGATTAAATAGTCAGTTAAATTTATATATACCTAATAACACAAAACATGTAAAGTAAAAGTTTAGAGAACAAAAAGGACAAAGAGACGAATCCAAATTATGAGTTGGAGATTTTAACATCTCTCTCAGGAACTGATAGGTTAAGAAGTTGAAAAAAATCAGGAAGGGTAGGAAAGATTTGAATAACTCAATTAACTGACTAATAACATAAATAACCAATTAACCAACCAACTTAACTGACATCTATAGGACACTACACCCAATATGTATAGAATGCATTTTCTTTTCAAATGCTTATGCAATATGCTGGGTGAAAAAGCAATTTTGAATAAAGTTCAAAGAACTGAAATCATACAGAACATTTTCTCTAACCACAGTGGAATTAATTAATTAATTAATTCATTCATTCATTCTCAGCCACAATCTTCAACAACATTTATTTTTAGAAAACACTGTTGCCTTGGTGTTTTAGGAAAACTTTTTTTTTTTAAAGATTTTATTTATTTATTTGACAGAGAGAGAG